GTTCAGGTTCTGCTCCTCAAACAATGAGAACATTAAAATACAACCAAACAACAGGATGGTAGATAAAATTAACCCTTTTAAATTCTCAATTTTATTAAAGGCGTGCACCACCACCACCTGGCCTCACAATATATAATTTAAAAGTCCTTTTCATCATGACTGCTCAGCCTAATACCAAAATGGTTGGACTAGAAGGGAATTTGGGGAACTATCTGAGCATAGTTTCCACTTCCATAGCTTCTACTATGCTCAAAAGAGAGTACCAATCCGCTAATGCGCCCAAGGGGGACCTTGTCTCACGTGTACATTGTTTCTGCTCATTTTCAGTGTGATCTTATTCCTCTATAACCCTTCTGCACAAGCCAGCTGGAGCTCCTGGTTTTCTCTTGCCTATAAATGCTAGTGCTTGCTGTTCCTGCAATTGTCATGGACCTCCTATCCAGCTTTTACACATACACTTTGATGCCAGGCTTTCCCTGACCTCATCTTCTCATGACCAGGAGCTTACTTATTCTTCCATATTCACCCCGTCACACTACGTAAGGAGTAATTATGGTGAATATCAGGGATCTGTCTTATCCACCAGATAAAAAAAAAAAAACTCTGGAAGGAAAAGGAGTATGTTCTGTCACTGTATCCTGAATGTCTCAAAGTGGCTCTTGTGCCAGGATCAGTAAGCACTTGCTTGATGAGACTACACCATGAGGATCATATTGGGTTGTCAAGGTCAACATTTTACATCAGCAATGGTTTTAGACATTGGTAAATGGCATACACCAGACATCCTAGGTCCTTACCAAGTGCAGTAAGTCCTTCAGAAATAGAAGAGAGGATGTACATAATGACATGAGGTTCCAGGCTTGCAATAAAGTTCATATGGTCCTGGGTCAGGACTTCCAGTAGTGAATAGTAAGACTGGCTGAGTTTGGGGTAATCCTGGGCAAAAGAGAAGGAAGAGAATCAGCTGAATCATTTCGTACTTTAGCACAAAGGAAGAAGGTCTTTAACAAAATAGTTCCTTCAGTTGGGAAAACCAAAAGATAGTTATAGCAGAAAGGAATGAGGTTGCAGTTCCTTGTTTGTTTGAGACATGATCTTTCTATATAGCCCTGATTGGCCTGGAACTTGCTGTTGACCAGGCTGTTCTTGAACTTAGAGATCTGCCTTCCTCTTCCTCCTGATTGTTGGGTTTAAAGGCATGAGGTTGTGGTTTCTTAGGAAAAACATTCAGTCATGGTCACAGGCATACAAAACTAACATGATCTGAGCATGATGCTGCCCAAGGAGCTGAGGGCTTACCAGGAGGTCACTGTGAGGAATAGAGAGGAGCAGTTTGATGAAAGTCTGTAGGGCGTTTTCCAATGCATCATCTCCATAGAGACGGAAGACCCCAAAATTGACGTAACTTCCACTGAGAGCAGCTTTCAGCATGGAGAAGCAGATGGAGATACCCTTGAGCTTCAAAGCATAGACTTGATCCTTTGGCACCTCTCCTAGTGTCAGGATACGATTGCCTGAGAAAACATAGGGAATATTTATACACCCAGGTTCATAGTACTTTTACTGTAGTCAGGGTCCTACTATGTAGTTCTGGCTGGCCTTGAACTCACAGAGATGTGCCTGCCTCTGCCTTCTGAGTACTTAAAGGCATTTGTTACCACACCCGGTGTTCACAGATTTTAAGTCATCCCAACCCTCCCATTCTAAAGACACAGACAAAATACATTTCAGCAGGCCTTTGGTGACATTTGGCAGTCTAATATAAGAAACACAACACGCCATGGGAATGCTCTCCTGGCCACTGTTAGTCTAACCTGAGAGCACAAACAGTTGGACTCACTTCCAGGGACACGCCTCTCTAAAGCACTCACCATACATTGTTATCATCTTGCTGGTTTCTCGGAAAAGTAAGATGCCATTGGGAGATGAGACATCAAACTGGAGTCGCTGAGATCTGAGCAGGAAATACAGAAGGACAAAACATCAAAGTTTTTTCTTGGCAGATCAGGTTCTCACCGGTGCTCCACAGGTGACTCAGCACTACTGCTACAAACTGCTTCCTCCACTGAGGGGAGAGCCACACTTTTTATTCAGTGACGGTACCTATTCCTTTTCTTTTCTTTTTGTTTTTTTGAGACAGGGTTTCCCTGTGTAACAGTCCTAGCTGTCCTGGAACTAGCTCTTGTAGACCAGGCTGGCCTCTAACTCATAGGGATTCACCTGCCTCTGGGATTAAAGGCATATGCCACCACGACCCGGCCAAAGGTACTTATTTCTTAAAGCCCACGATTTTAGGTTCAGGTTCTGCTCCTCAAACAATGAGAACATTAAAATACAACCAAACAACAGGATGGTAGATAAAATTAACCCTTTTAAATTCTCA